AGAGGGATGGCTGCAGAGAGAAAACTGGCCCCGAGCTAAAACTGCTACAATTAGAATATAGCAACTGCAAGCACAAAAGAGCCTTAAGAAGCACAAAAGTGTTGGAGATTACAATGAAATATCCATTATGAATAATACAGGTATGTAAACTTTTGTTTCACCCGAGTAAAGCACGTGCTCTGTGCTCGTCATCCTCACACTAAGCCCATAAATTGTGAAGACAAAATTAGAAGCTGATCAGGGGCACAGTAAGTCTCATTCCAACCCACCAGGTTTTACTAGAGATACTCATAATAGAGATCTCACACACCCCCCTGCACACAACCTAACACACGTACTAACTTCAAAAAATTAAGCTGCACGAGTGCACGCACACTAGAACACGTACTCTACAAATGCAGGAAACCTGTTCACACAATATGTATCAGAAGAGCTGTGCAAGGATCCTGTGCATAGACTTGTTCACTCCACCCTTCCTGACATCCTTGTCAGCATTAGGACTCTCTCCAGCCACCTGCCACTGGGTAAAGGACTTCCTTACCAACCGGTCACAGATTGTCAAAAATGTGACCTCGTATCTCCTCCACAGTTCTGCTCAGCACTGGCTCCCCTCAGGGCTGTGTGCTGAACCCACTGCTCTGTGCTCTCTACACATTTAATTGTATCTCTCATCACACCATCACCAATGGTATTTAATTTGCAGACACCACACTGACTGCACCCATCTCTAAAGATGAATTGTCATACAGGGATGAAGTGAGCAGTCTGACAATGTGATGCTCTGCAAATAACCTCATATTGAAGACCAAAACTAAAAAGCTAATCATGACCTTCAAGAGGTCTGAACCAGCAGCACTACACATTAATGGGTGGAAAGGATGGACACCTGTAGGTTTATGGGCACTCACATGTCAGAGGATCTCTCCTGGTCTGCCAAAACCAATGCCACCGTCAAGAAGCAACAGAAGCGTCTACATTTTCAGAGAGGACTTAGGAAAAATGACCTTGAAAGGAAACTGCTGCTGTCATTCTACTACTCCTGCATAGAGGGTGTACAGACCTACATCTCAGTTTGGTACTCCAGCTGCTCGGCTGCTGACAAGAAGCCTCCCCATAAAACTGTCAAAACTCTTCAGAAAATTACTGGCTGTAGCCTGCCCTCTCTGGGTGAAATCTCTACTTTACGATACCTATCATTACTGTAATTAAGCAATAACCGACTGTCTTTTATTTTTATGGATTGCACCAACAGTGTTTAATGTTTTAGTGCGTTTTATTATTTCTTTTATTATAATTTCAATGTATCCATTTGATCTGTTGTAGCTGTCTCAACCATAAGTCTCACTGTGAATTTACAATGACAATGAAGAGCTTTGATACAGTTTAAGAGTTCAGTAGTTTTCTTCCAAATTAAAACAATTCAAATGTGTGTGCATGTGTACCTCCTGTTCATACAGAACCCATGTTCAAGAAACCATCGAGAATCAGAGAATACAAAAAGGAAATCCATTTACACATGTACAGTACTGTACCCATTTCTATACAATGTATTACACCTCATATATACAATGACTGTATATGCTTACAACTATGCTACCGTCTTCCACCTTCTGTAGGCAGCCATATGTTTCATTGTGCCCGAGTGTGAGTGTGTGAACACTTCCTCTACGGCCTACAACGGTGATAAATACATAAACAGTAACTAGTACCCAAGCCCTCACTGATACCATATCAATGACAGTCGATATCACAACAGAAGATACACACCTTCATGAAGACAAATGCACACACACCTCAGACTAAGTGCACACAGAGTCAGACACACCAATGTGTGTCACTGCGTACTGCACCCAGTCTCCTTCGCTCACACGCCGAGTCTGTGAGCGACGCAGCAACCAGTTTAACAGACTGAGTGTTCAGTGTTTAAGGTCTGGCAACCGAGTCAATGGGCTGTAATAGCAAAGGAGAGGTCACTGGGGTGTCGCATGTATGAATACTGCCGTACACACACACACGCAGACTTTAAAGAGCCTTTTTAAAAAGCATCATGCCCATATTCACATTCAGCTCCCTGCTGCTGACCAGACTGCATGTGCAATTGTGCTTAAAGGACTGATGACTGTAGACCGGTGTGTGGCCTTTAACAGGAAGTGACAGAGACAGATAGCTGGTATTGAGAGAGCCAAACAAAATGCAATAAGAGCAGCAGGGGGGGGAAAGGGTGAGTATACAGTAGATGGATAAAGGAGGGAGTTGGAGAAAGATTGATGGATGGATTATATGAGGACAGAAGGAACCAAAGCATTCAGTGGGAGTGAAGAGAGGACAAAGATGTATGGAGTCTGAGAGTGGATTAGATAGAGCAATAGAGGAGGGGAAGACCAGCAGAGAGCTTCAGTGATGGAGCCACTGTCACTCTCCTAGCCTGATCTCTCTCCAAGCATTTTGGCTTAAACACTTTTGCAATGCTGTTAACAGGATGTCAAACCTCAAATTCAATGGTTAACTTCAAATCAACCCTCTCTGCTCCGCCCAGCACTCCCTCTCCCTACGCTCCACCACGCTCTTCAGACATTTGTCATTATGAAAATACAGTAAATAAGAATGCAACGAAACTTAATGATCAAGCAAAAATAGCTGAAAACCTAAGCTAATATCTCTGTACTGCTGCCAGCGCTGTTCAATGAGTCAGTGACAGTAGGCTTCGACGGCATCTCCACATTAAGGCAGGTTTCTACAACAAACATTTGAAAGAGGTTACATGCTGTAGCTTTAACTGCAACTACAAACATTTGTTATTTTACCACTGTTTCTCTACTGTAATTGAACCCCCTTTCACCAGCCCTGCCTGCTTTCGTCTTTCATCCTCACCTCTGCCCAGACAGTGCACTCAGCAGCCGCCACCACACACCTGACCTTTCCGTAATGAGAGGGAGCCAAAGAGCTCCCATGCTGGAAAACATTGGGCAAAATTCAACCACCAAAGGAGTAAAGTAGAGGTTGCAACAAGTGCAGCCGTTTTTCTAACAATGAATCTGATTAACAGTTTCTCTTCTCATTTAGCCACAGTGTGCGCACCGTGTACACGGAGCTGCCTCTAATCCTCAAAACTAAAACACCTTGCTGATATCTAGGGAAGACAACACAGTTAGAAGTTACTATATGCTTGAAGAAAATATGATAGTACAACAGTGATCCACATAAAATACAAGCCTCTTGGGACAAACATTCTTTTTAGTGAGTGCACACAAACAGATTTCACTGCTGTTTAGAAAGGGAAGGCCATCCAAACTTTGAGTATAAAAACAGAATTTTGCTCGACCTTACCAGTCCCTGCTGATCACTGTATCCTCACAGCCATAAACAAGTCAAGTCATTAATTCTGGAAGAATCATTAGCACAAGGTGGAAAGACGCTCCAGGTAACTCGGCTTTAGTTTACCCCAGCGGCAAAGCCAATCTGATCACTTCTGAGATGGACAGCACAGATGAAGTGTCCCTAATGTGAGGTAGAACAGGTGATTTGTGGCCTTACTGTGCAGGCCAGGATTCTGCACAATCGAACACCATTTACTCTGCAAGAAACTACAGCAGGAACCTTCCAGCAGTCCAGGGATGTAGCTGTTCGTACGTGTTGTATTTTGGCCAAAGACCGTTCCTTGGTACCTTCTCTGTGATGTGGGCCAAGCAAGTTATTTTGTACCTTGCAAGTTCTAAGACATGCTCTTACTGTCTTTGGTCTGCATGAGCGTAGGCATATTCATGTTTTCTGCTGGCACTGCAGACTGCCCAAGTAGAGTAATGTCTTGGATTTAAGTTGTACTCGTTTATGTACAGATGCATTACCAATGTAGTTCCTCTTGGATTTGGAGCCAGAGTATGCTATGTTGATGGTGACAAAGGGTAAAATCATGCCACCCCCACCTATTTTATAATATAAAATGGAGTGTCTACTTAATAAAATAAGTCTAAAGCACAAAAAGAGGCTGAATTTCTAGCACCAAGGGGTTTTTCTGCCAAAATCTAAGCCATGTTTTCTCTGATGAAGTCAGCAAAGAACACAAATATCTTTATTCTGCAAGAAGCCTCATCTTTACTGCAAGTTCATTTCTGCCAAGACAAAAAACAGTTAACACAGAAACCTGGCTTGGATTAGTTGAGAGGAGAGAAAAGATTATCAATTTTTTTCCCAAATGTTTTCAATTAAATCAAGCCCAAAACTCCGCTTCGAAATCAGTAAGGTTTTACTACAGCTGATCCAAAGCTAAACCACAACAGTCAAGTCTGAAATAAGTCAGTGATTTTTAA